CGTATGTGAAACGTCACTTCATTTTTTCCATTTTTTGAGAGAAAAAAATATGCATAAATCAAAAAGGTGACGGAGGGAAACAATAGTGCCTCTTGATAGCAGTTTGGTGAACGATGGCTGAGCTGTTGAATGTTGGCTAATCTTAAAAGATTCCTTGTTGATAACAACGGTCAAAATTTTAGGCAAAGCATTTCCAAGGCTTCTAAGAGTGATGGGTCGGGGAGGAAAGGTGGGAATAGGAGATAGTAATACGATGAAAGAGGTAGGAGGGATATATTCTAACGATACTTATAGTAGTAATTGGGAAGGTTTTTTTGGTTATTACAAAAAAAATGCTAAAGCTGAATTGCATATATTTAAGTTGGAGTTATCACTACTAATTCTGTAATCAATGAAAGTGTTTTGTAAATTAATAATTTTAGAAGTGGTGATTTTTTCATATTATATTGAATATATAATTCATGTTGTATTGAATATATAATTTATTCAGGTTTAAAGAAACAGTTTTGATTTAAAAATTAAATTATGAGTAGAAAATCTATAAAAAAGTATGGGATATTAATATAATTTTGACCTATTCTTGGACAGTATAACGTCTAGAATAAGTATGGGTGTAAAACAATTTATCTAAAGTATTAGTAGTAATATATTTGTAAAAAAATATTTTAAGAATCATAATCTTACTTATTATAAAACGCAGATTGTGTGTGTGTGTGTGTGTGTGTGTGTGTGTGTGTGTGTGTGTGTCTGTACGTTTATATATTGGATCATATTTCCTACATTTTTCAACCGATTTCAACAAAACTTCACAGGACTACGTAAAATTACCTTGCAGTGGTTTTAACAGCGCCAAAAATTGGAAAAACACAATTGTTTTTGCACGAAATCAATTTGAAAACACGATTAAGAGGCATCACGAAAATGAAAGGGGGACAACTCATATCGAGTTATACTTATTATAAAACATAGGTTGTTTGTGTGTGTGCTCGTTCATATATGGGATCGGATTTCTTACGTTTTTCAACCGATTTCAACAAAACTTCACTTTTTTTTGGCAGGTAGTGTTTCTTATTGTCTTGCACACTTTTTCTTTATTTTTACATTCAGTATGCTTTAGAAATTCCATTTACAAGACAATTGTTTATAATAAAATTCTATTCAATCGGTAGACTCATAACGATTGAAAACAACGTTTTTGTTTGAGTAAAAAAAAAAAAAACTAATTAAGACATGCGTGTCCGTCAACCTTAAACAATAATCTTTGTCAATTTTATTTTTCAGTCTTTATGATGGTCGATACTTGATCTATCTCTTACTGTTACATCCCCGGGCAACGCCGGGGTCTACTGCTAGTCTAAGATAAATTAGTGGAGAGGTATATAAGATGGTAGAAAGTATATCAAAAGAGGTGAGTTATTTTAAACGATTAGAGTTATGGAGTTAAGAATTTAACAAGATTGTAATGTTAGAGCTTTAATATGTTTACAAAAAACGGTGGTTTCATATGTTTAATTTAATAAGTGGGTGTTGTTCAAAAGTTCACTAATACATATTTTCTCATGCAAACCTAAAAACAAGGTTCGTTCAAAGATTTGCAAGTTCTGGCTTGTTTTAGAATTTTCCATTTAACCTTAGGTGTTTTTCCTTCCTCTTTCAGTTTCCAAAAATATTTCGAAAGTGATGTCATATTGTGTTTGCCTGCATGTGTAAAGGAATGATATATGATTGTAATATCTATTCTTAAAAGGTCTTCTAGTTGATCCCACATGCAGCTTAAGATCCCCGATGTTCTCATTTGATGAGATATAGCACATATACACAATGGGTTTCATTAAGCACTTGATTTCTAATCGACATTGATCAGGGAATCTGCAATTACATAGCTCTTTTACTTGGGGTGCATTAGAACTTGTGTTTCGGTTGCGTTTATTATCATTATGAAGTTTCAGTATTCTATTGTCGTGTGATTTAATAATTTTATCTAGATTCCTAGAAGAGCTATAACTAATTTTTAAGGTATTACGGTTGAAGATGTGACTTAATTTATTCTTCGTAGAAAAGTGCTTGTTAATTAAATTTAAGAATTTGTGTCCTAATTTGGTACGGACTAATTTGTTGAAGGGAGGTGTATACCAAATTATTCTCCTTCCTCTAATATCTTTTTTTTAGAGTAACTACAATTTGCTCCATATTTAATTTTGGAAGATCTGAAGCCACTGCCGGTAAGGATTTTTATACACAATTTTGTGCTTATCGAATATTTGTTTGGTACAGGAGTGCTGGTTGATATGACGTTCAACGGATGATGGGATATGTCTAATAACCGGCGTTGGGTTTTTGGAATTAGGGCTTATATAAATGGGGCTAGCGTTATTTTTCAAGAAGGGTTGGAAATTATTTAGGGATAAGTTTAAGGTTACATCTAAGAAGTCTACTTCTTTTATGTTAGAATTAATTTTAACCTTGAGGTGTACAGATTTAAACACCGTGTGCATCAATTTCCTCAACTTTTCAACCTTGCCTCTGGTAGAATTATTTACTACCATCAGGCTATCGTCCCTATAAATTTCTATATCATTTAAATTAATTCTATTATTGTAGTGGGATCTTGTTTCACTCAGTCAACTTTTTGTTTTATGTATATTTTTTATCAACCAAATGGAAAAAGACAGTGACGTTTCACATACGGCTTCCTTATGAGCAAAATTCTTCATAGCTATTTTTGGTTCTCACCAGTCGACGTGCAATTGAAATGCACCGAAACGAAGTTGCATCTTTGTAGTAAGTAAAGTGTTTTTGTCTATATGATAAAATTATAATAAATAATTAGTACTCTACTATCAGTATCGAGTCCTCTTTTGAATTAATGCTGTGAACTTTAGAATTTATATATTATTTTCAATTTCATTGCATCGGGGATATATATATATATATATATATATATATATATATATATATATATATATATATATATATATATATGTTTGTGTTTTTGTGTGTGTTTGTGTTTGTATGTGTGTGATAGCTGTAGATTAAAATCAAACCGAGAAGTAATGAACGTATTGAGATTATAGTGGTGTATAGTGGTGTAAACCTCCCGCAACAAGAAAACGACTCGCAATAATGCTAGAATCCCACAGACAAACAGATGTGTGATATCCAGATTAGCGGATAAGTCAATTTGGTCAACGCCGCTTTAGAGGAATATAAAACGGTTGTTAAGACAACCGTTTCGTAGATGACGACTTTGAGCTTAAGAAGATGTTAAGATCAGGCCATACTCTCTTTTCAAGTATTCTAACTGCTTGGATTGCTCGTTCAATGCGTTAATTCAGTCCTGCATCCAGTGAGCCAGCCTTAGAGAGTGCGCTACCTAAGTATAAAAACGTGTCTACTACCTCCAGACTGGACTCGTTAAAGAAAAGGTTGCGTTCCAAGTAAATATACTCGTCTGGAAAAAAAAAACTTAGGTGTATTGGCTTGTAAATGAATAAAGCAATACCCAAGGAAAAATAAGGGACAAAAAAAGAAAGAACTAAGAACATGTAATTGAGGCGAAAACGATCGTCCAGAATCCAAGTTCAGAGTCCATAGTAAAAAAAAACCTCCAAAACGAGAAAAACAAAAGTTAGTAAGTAAAGTGATCAATACACTAAGTAGAGCAAATCTAACTATGAACAAAAAAAGAACCAGGCAAACCTACCTAGGTTTCACCTATGCGGATTGTCGGGGTACGTTGGCGACGCCAAAGTAAGTTTAGCTGGCTCTTTTGATTCATAGTTATATATATATATATATATATATATATATATATATATATTAAAAAATAAAAAATATTAAAAAATCAAAATCTTCAGACACACTGATATATATCTTATTTGACTACCTCTTTTAATATATATCTATATACAGTATCACATTCTGTTCATAAATATCTCTCTATGTATAATTATATGCGTCCGTGTCTGTCTGCGTGTGTGTTTGTGTATATGTATGCTTTTACGTGTGGTTGGTTTATTATTTATCTATTTATTTCTCTATTTATCTGTCTCCTTCTGTTTGCCATCTATCTAAAGTGCAGTTCGATAAAAGTGACTCACCTGATTTTTTTTTACTAAAAATATTTTTTGTCTATTGTTTTGGGGGTTAAAATGATTTTTAATCTTACTAATATAAAGACCCCTTCCCGACCAACGAGGAAAATTTTATTCACCCTAAGGTATTCTATTGATAATTATATATTTGTATATAAATAAGATTCAGGAAAAAAACTCAGATATCGCATTCTAGTGATTAAACTGGTGAATATAAAGAGCTTTTGACAAAATATTGAAAACTATTTTAAAATACACTCAGAACAATATTCTAGAGAATTCTAGAACAGCTTAAATTAAATCTAGAGTATACCAGAATATTCCAGAAAGCTTCATACAGTATAAAAACAGCTTGAAATAGCCACTCAAGTCACTAACTAGATGAAAGGGTACAAACACGCATCAGAACCACTTAAGGCATCTATTATTGCCCTCTCAAAAGCAGGCAAGTCTACGAGAGAAATTGCAGAAATTGCTATAACCTTACAATCAACTGTCTCTCGAGTGCTTAGGGCACTCGAGAGACACTGCTCCAAGGAAGGAAACAAGTAGACGAAAGAAAAAGATTGATGATAGAACTAGCAGGGTAATCAAGAGAGAAGTTGCGAAGAATAGGACTATAACTAGCCAAGAAATTGCAGCCAGTCTAATAGAAGAGCAAGGTGTTAGTCTTGACTCTTCAACAGTCCGTCGGTGGCTGTTAGAACAAGGCTACAAATCTTGTACACGAAGGTTTAAGCCACTAATAAGCAAAGCCAACAAAGCCAAGAGACTTGAATGGGCTCACTATTACAAAAATTTCATCGTAGAAGACTGGAAGAATGTTCTCTTCTCCAATGAAACGAAAGTTGAGCTAAATTCAAAGGATAAGGTGAGTCACTTTTATCGAACAGCACTGTATAAATT